CACGGTGCCTGCTTTACTTATATAGTGCCAGCTGACAGCCACTTTGCCGCGAAGTCGCTGCATGACTTTTAACTCAAGTGCTACGATAACTGGGAAGTTCGTTGGCATAGGTGTATTGCAGCAGGAGGGGATTACTTTGAAGGAGATGAAATGAACAAAATTCACCTTTCAATTTGATCACAAACCCTTCTTTTTGTAATAAAGCTAAATTCTTGACCATAACATTAATTTATATGCGTTTTATTTCTTCTTGAAAATCACATGTCTTAAAAAACACCCTTTAGTAGTGAGCATTAAATTACTTTGTAATCCAATTTCGTATCTTTATAAACAGATTATGTTTATCTGTAATAATTTTTTACTTTATTATCTTTTTTACTTGTTTAAAATATTTCGCAAAGTTCCCTTACTCAATATTGACGAAATYTTAAACAGCAYTTYTATATAYTAATATGTGACCTGGTCTAYGGWAAGGGGGCTTAGGTGTCAAAAAACCAATTTTCACTTTTTAGTTGATTCGGATGGAAGATGAGATGCTTTTTCACGTGATAGAATCCAAAAAGTCATAACTTTTTTCGCATGTTAGCTCCCTCTTCGTAGACCAGGTCACATATATTATATTTCTAATAAATGAATGCTTTTCTTTTAAACTCACCCTTCATAATAGGCGCCATACTGAACGCCTTAATACAGCCGCGTCCCGAAAATTGGCCCAAAATAATYTCCAAATAATACACTGGTCGGCCAATAATGAGTAAAACAATCAGATATGGTATGACAAAAGCGCCGCCGCCATTTTGAAAAGCGATATAGGGGAAACGCCAAATATTGCCCAAACCCACAGACAATGAAATGCAGGAGAAAAGAAACTCAATTTCATTGCCCCATTGCTCCTTGGGCTTTGCAAAAGCTGTAGACTCATCTAGCGTTACTTTTTTAGCGTCTGCTGATGCCTCATTTTCTAAATTACGCGGTTGTAGTTTGAGCAGCTCCTCTTCGGCGGACATTTTCGATGAAATTTTTGAATAATTTTTGTTTTTGAATATTATTGTTTTGTAATATTTTTTTGTTTTGTTTTGTAATATTGGTTTATAAACTWAAAAAAAACACAGTTCAAATCGTACACGACACTTCACTGTCTAMCTTCRCACTGAGTCCGTTGTCAACGGTGCRKTCCACTTTTAAATGTCGCCAAGTCGTACACGTAGTTTAACCGCAAATATATATATTCAACGTATTATTATCACATAACATCAAGTTTAGTTGCTAATTATTTAAATTCGTATTTKTATTAATTGTGCGTCTTCCGTCTCTGCGCGCTGCCGCCAACAGTTCTTCTCCTGTTCATACAAGTGAGTAAGTCGAGCACTCGTGCCTYTTGAAACTAATTCTATCGCTGAAATCTCGTGTAGCTTCTTTGCAATTTGTGTAAATCTTAGCGTGATTATCCAATTCTTATCTTTGTTGGCTCGGGGCAGCCAGGCAGGCGGCTAAACTGACAAATAGGCGTTTAAGTGGATCAAGAATTTTATGCGCGCGGATTTATCATCAGCAAATATAATCGTACATACCCACAAGTATCTGTTAATTCAGCTCACACTTGACAATGCGCTCTCTCTGCGTCGAGCTCTCTTCTAATTCTTGCCTCACGATTTTCAARCACCATATCCATCACTTTTTTATTATTTTTATCACTTGAAGTCGTCCAAAGAGACGGAGCGTTCCCTATCATCCAGACAATATGACCTAGCCGCTGTTTCTTAATTTGCTGAACTATGTTAAAGTCGTCGTATATCTCGTACAGCTTATCGTTCCATCCAATTCGCAAGGAACTATATATTTTCTGAAGACCCCCTCCTCTTGAAAACCCATAACGTCGACTCGTCAGATGTTGTCCATGCCCCTGCAGAATGAGAAGAATGAGGACTTATAGGCATTTGTCTTTGTTCGTCGAGAGAGGACTTTATTTCTCAATTGCCTGCTCAGTCTGAAGTAGCACCTGTTGGCATTTAAGTTTAATCTTGCTTTGGATTTCGAGGCTGWCATTGTTGTTGGTKTTAATACTGGTTCCAAGATGGACGAAACTATCTTCGACATCGAAGTTATGACCGTCAACAGTGTCATGGGAGCCAATTCGCGGGTTCGATGACTGTTTGTTTGATAACAGGATCGTTTCGTTTTATCAATATCATCGGCATACGCCAGYAGCTTTATACTCTTATAGAAGATGGTACCTTTTTTTTTCTCGATAGGGAGTCGTCTTGAAACCTCGTTTGGTATCGAACGGCTCGGAGAGATCCTCATAAGGTCCAATCGGTTTGTGGACGGTGGGGTTCAGTCTTTCAAACAGTCCACTCAATATAACCTTATATGCAATGTTGAGTAGGCTTATCCCACCGTAGTTGACGCAGATTGTGGGGTCTCCCTTTTTGTGACTTGGACAGAGCACACTTAAATTCTAATCGTCAGGCATGATTTTGTCCGACCAAATTCTACAAAGAAGCTGCTTCGTGCTCCTTGACAGTTCTTCGGCGCCGTATTTGAATAGCTCGTCCGGCAATTTATTTTTATATACCGCATAATATTTTTCACACTTTACTAATTTTCCTGCTGGGTATGAGATCAATCATGCATTTGTGATGAAATTGGATTTGATTGCTTACGTCGTTGCCAATCTCTGCACCTTCAGAAATTACATTASTCAAATCAAGTGATTACAGCAAACTGTAAATTATTATTAAAATATATAATAAATGTATATTATATACTTCATGATCTGTAATAGGTTGTAAAGGATGATTACCAGGAGAAATCTTCTATGCAAAAAGTGTAATTGCTATTACAGCGATTTTGGTTACGGATTTGTTTCTGGAGATACTCAGTTTTTGAAGACATTGTATGGGAAAACTTGACAGGATTTTCACAAAATTTCGAAAAGGTTATTGCCTAAGGCAAAGCTACAATATTCGAATAAAAATTTTCAGATTGGACCTGTATAACATATATGAGCCCTACAAACTAGTCGTTCTAGATTAAGTTCTTGTATGAAAAACTTTTTATTTAACGAGTTATCTTCACGAAATTTTGGTAGAGATTATTGTCTAAGGCAAC